ACATGCGGAAGGCATCTGTCCATCGGGTTTTCTGGCGCCCCGGTCGTCTATGAGGTGATCCGTCTGGGTCATTGTCGGGTCTCCAAAATAGCACCTTCATTGCCCAGTTGTCAGCCGGTCCACAAACGACCTGTTGTGCCCATTTGAATTTCCTCTTCCGTTGCGTCGTTGTCCAATCCTCGATGTTGAGTTGTTCGACCCTTGCGCGAGCTTCGGCGGTCACGCGTTTGATCCAATCAACCCAAGGTTCCAGATTGTCGTTCGTCTCTTCGATGCTTGTGGTGTCGGTTCCGTGCTCGCTGGAGTCGTTGGGGTCGTTTCTGGCGTCGTTGTTGGAGGTGTCGGCGTTGTCTGGTTGGCTTCTGGACGCGCTGTCTGCGCGTTGTTGTCTGCGTCGCTTCCCCCCAAGGATCATCCGTAGCATGTGTCGTTCCGTTCTTCGCAAGCGGTTCTCCAACTCTGAAGTAAGCGTCCAGGTTGCACACCCGTATAATGCCGTTGGCGTTACGCATCCGTGAAACAATCGTAATCTGTCGTTCAATGAGTAATCCTTACATAACAATTCCTGCTTCAGGGAGAAGAATTTCTTCCAGGCGGCGGCAATACGGTTATCCAGTTCCGCACCGTGGGGATCCGAGAACTGCACTTTGCGACCAAGGTATTTGCATGGTCTGAAAGGTGGAAGGACCTCAATAGTCATCTCGTTCGCCTGGATGTGATGTGGGGGCCGGCATCGACGAGAATGTCCGTGGCCGTTGTGTAATACCTTGGTCTTGTCTGGATGTAGGGTCAGTCCGACGCCTCTTGCCTCCTCGCTTAGGTCTGCGAGCATCGTTCTTATGTCAGAAGAGGACGTTGCGACGAGGAGCAAGTCATCCGCAAACCTTAAGTTGTTCAGTCGGCGAAAATGGTCGGGATGAAGTCGCACTCCCTGACTGCGCTGGTTCCACTTCGTTGTGAGTTTTCGCATCATGGATTCTGTGACGCAGTTGAACAACAAGGATGAAAGCGGGTCTCCTTGCTTCACCCCCCTCTGTATGCTGAATGGCTTGCTGGTGTTGTCAGTCCTGATGCTCGCTGTTTGATCGCGGTACAACTTGTCGAGCAGATGAATGTAGCACTCTGGGACGCCTTGTTCGGCAAGTGCTCGCCAGATGCTGTCGTGGGTGATGCTGTCGAAGGCCTTTTTGAAATCAACTGCGGCGATCCATAGAGGGGTCTGCCATTCGTCTGCTGTGTCTTGTAGCAATGAGATAACAAATAAATTGTCCACCGTGCTTCTCCCTGGCCTGAAACCTGCTTGGTCGTTGCTTTGCTGGGAGTCGAGAGTAGGGAGTAGCCGGTTGTACAAGAGCTTGGAGAACAGCTTGTACAACAGTGGAACCGTTGTAATTGGGCGGTAATTCTGTGGAAGTCGTGGGTCTCCGCTCTTGTGAAGAACTCGAATTATAGTCCGCCTCCAATTTTCCGGCGTCGGCGCATCAATTTGGATTATAGCGTTGAAGAGGACCAACAAAGCCTCTTGTAGATTGTATCCGCCTTCCTTCAGCATTTCAGCGACGATGCCCTTGCTGCCTGGGGCCTTTTTTGTCTTGAGTTGTTTGATCGCCACGCCGAGCTCTTCCACTGTGAATGTTGGCATTGGTACCGGGCATGCTGTCCGAAAGTGTTCGCGATAAGCAAGCTCTGACTTGTTTGTGTCGCGGTATAAGGCAGCATAAAAATCAGCGAATACATCTGCAATTGATTGTCGGTCGTACTGGCTCTCGCCTCTGTCATTGATCATGCTTGGGATGAGATCCTTCTGTTTGTGTTGCTTCATGCCGCTGATCCGTTTCAGGTCCTTGTATTCCGATATGATCTTGTTGATTGCCCCTCTTCGAGCGGCTCTTCTGATCGACCGGATCTCTTTTTTGAGTTGTCGTGTCAAGTGGGTTCGTTGCGTAGTGTCGTTCGATGGTACTGCACGCCGCTGCTCCATGAGAGAGGCTACGATGTCATTGCGAGTCGAATTGCGTCGTGCAGTCGTGCCGGAGCATGGTTGCGACGTCGAGAGCGCATTACGAAGGGCATCCTCGATTTGATCGCATGTTAAGCGTAATGTGTTGGTGATGGTGTCGATGTCGTGGTTGCTGGCTCGCTCATCCGATGCCACCTCGGGCCCAGTAGGTAGCAAAACCCTGACGTTGTCATCGGCCGCCCCCTTGTAAGCACGTATGTCTGCAGGCGGCCATCGTGCTGCATTTTTGGGCCGCTTCGTCATACGGATCCGTTTATTCTTCTTATGGCCGCAAGAACGTAGGGCATTACTTCGTAAACACAACGTTGAATGGTCCGACCCCATGTCTACACAATTCACAGCACAACTGTCCAGAACAGTTTTTCCAAACCGAACGTCGCACAGTATGTAATCTAACTGTTTCGGGGTACCCTGCGGACTCATATAAGTGTAACGCTTAGCCGGAAGCTTTTTGAAGAACGTGTTCGTAATCATCATGTTGTTCATGGCCGCCCACTGCTTCAACCAAAGCCCACGTGCATTCATGCCTGGCGCTCCGTGCTGTCCAATTGTTCTCCTGTCGTCGTCGTCGCACCTCTCCCCTACCATAGCATTACAATCCGCACCCACTGCAAAATACATGCTGTGTTGTTTGGCCTCTTCCCTCAAGCATGTAAGGGTGTCGTAAATACCCTGGACATGATTGTCCGAATATCCACTGTGAGGGAAATACGTCGTAACAACGCGAATCTTGAAGGATCTCCCGATTATGTCAACGTATGCGATGCGCTCGTGTATGGCCTGGGATTTTCGTATGAATGGGACCCAACGCTTGTGTATTATCAGTGCCACACCTCTTGTAGATTCCTCGTGCCCTGATCCCAAAAACGCATGCCCACCAGGTAAAATCCAAAACTCCTCCGTCACACAACGCATGGTTTCGTTGATTGTGGTTATGTCCCAATGGCAGAAACCTAGTTCGACAAGCAACTCCTCAATTCGTTCGTCGTTCGTGAGGCCCCGGATGTTCTTGTGTAGTATCACAAATTCGTCGTCGCATGTTCCTCCCTGCATGTATGCGCACGTACGTCGTCGTGATTGAAATCCCTCCGTTGTTTCATCCTCCGTCGGAGCACCATTGCCACTGACCCCAGATATCTGAAGTCGTGCTCCTGAGCCGGGGTCCTGCACGGGAGATCCCTCCAGAGTGTCGGAAAATTGCGGGCTACATGTTTGAAGCGGGATTTCGTCCAAGATGTTGTTGTTCCCCTGGATCTCGGAAGAGCTCAGGAGGGGAATGGGTGAAACATGAAAGGTCGAAATTGGAGTGCCATCTTCGATTTTCGAAGTGGGGGCCCCATTGGTGAAAGGTACCGCACCGCAGTCGGAAGTAGTGCGCCTGTTGCGTAGGAGGCAGAGTGGGACATCGCCTGGGACGCTGGTGTAGGTCCGTCGCCCTCCTCCACGGCTCTGTGAAACTTCATGGTGTGCATGTCCGCTCTTGATATTGCCAATTTCACGACTGCTGCCACCTTGATGAGCTCCTGCGGGTGTCCAGCGAAGCGTGACCTTGAAAGCATGTAAATTGAACCTCGCCCTTTCTGGGGGCTGCCAGATGCGCCACCGACGCCACTTCCGTGAGCGCTTGGGAGGGCCAGCGGGACGCTCTTTAAAGGCGTCCAGCCTGGACTTCGCCCTCCGTGGTGGTTGCCTTAAGTTGGGCATGTCCCTCTACAGGAAGAAAATTCCATCACTAGTTTCAAACATAATATGGTGACAGTGTTATATATTATTTGTTTGCTATGTTTGAATACGCTTGACTGTTTGACTGGGCTGTACGGGTTCGATTGGGCTGAGTATTTCACTGGGTATGCTCATCCTCCACCTCCTCATCCGTCCTCCACATCCTCATCCGTCCTCCACATGCTCCCACTCCAGAGTTCGGCAGCATGGTCGGTTTGTGCTGCGGTAAGGGGATTCTGCGCAGATGCGCTCCGGACTCCACGGGGCTGACTCGCCTCTCCTCCAGCAAGGGGACACACAAGTGGAACCCCTGCGTCTTCGATCCCGTGTTCGCCCCCCTCTCCCCCTCCTGGCTCAACAACAAAGTTGGCGCCCGGCCTGCTGGAGGCCCTGGGGTGGGCCATTTGTTTTTCGTCCTCTCGAGCCTGTGCTCCCGAATGCCCAGGGTCAACTTTGGAATCGAGGGGAGGGAAAAAGGGGGGGAGAACTTTTTTCGTCCTCTTGAGCCTGTGCTCCCAAATGCCCAGGGTCAACTCGGTATCGAGGGGGGAAGTCAGAAGCCAGGCGAAGGCTGGCAAACCCGTGTGGCTGCTAAAACGGAGTTCAGGGACATTGTTGCTTCCTTCCGGGAAGCAGGCCGTCTACTATTTAGCGCGCTGAGTCTTATTCTGGGATCTTTTCTTCTTCCCGGGAAGTCCGTTTTAGCAGCCACGGATCTGCCAGCCCTCGCCCAGCTTCCGAAAGGGGCGGGGGCGGAGCCAAGGGCTCCACTGTTTTGCCCACCTACGGCCCTGCCCCCGGCAGGACCCCTGCCTCGACGGCGCCGTGACCCGCCGCGCGAGCCGCGGGGCCGGGCACCTGAAGGTGAGCGTGCAGGCGTGCCTTTCCGGGGTCCTCGGGGAAAGGGTGGGAGGAGGGAGAGGGGGAACACTGCGGAGGGAGGGAGGGAGGGCGGGAGGGAGAGGGGGAGGGAGGAGGAGGGGGAGGGAGGATAAGGAGGAGGAGGCACAGGAGGAGGAAACAGACAGGAGAGAGGGAGGAGAGGACGAAGGGAGGGAGGAGGAGGAGAGGAAGGGCCGGAGGAGGAGGAGCAGGAGGAGGAGGAGGAGGAGGAGGAGGAGGGGATGAGGCGAGGAGGAGGAGGAGGGCGAATGATGAGGAGGAGGAGAAGGAGGAGGAGGGAGGAGGAGGAGGCGAGGCGGAGGAGGAGGAGGAAAAAGGAGGCGAGAGGGAGGAGGGAGGAGGAGGAGGAGGAGGAGGAGAATAATAAGAGGATCATACTAAGACGGAGGAGGAGGAGGAGGAGGAGGAGGAGGAGGAGGGAGGAGGGATGTGGGAAGACTGAGGAGGGAGGGAGGAAGGGGGGAGGGAGGCAGGATGAGCAGGAGGATGGAGTAAGGAGGGAAGATTGAGGAGGAGGGGGGAGGGAGGTACGGAGGGAGGACGGAGGAGGGACGGAGGGAGGGAGGGAGGAGGGAGGGGGAGGTCGGAGGACTCAGAAGGGAGGATGGAGGGAGGGAGGGAGAGAGGGGAGGAGGGAGGAGGAGGAGGAGGAGGAGGAGGAGGAGGAGGAGGAGGAGGAGGAGGAGGAGGAGGAGGCGGAGGAGGAGGAGGAGGAGGAGGAGGAGGAGAGAGGAGGAGGAGAGGAGGATGAGGAGGAGGAGGAGGAGGAGGAGGAGGAGGAGGAGGGAGGAGGAGTGGGAGGAGGAGGGAGGGAGGAGGGAGGGAGAGGGAGGGGAGGAGGGAGGAGGAGAAGGGGCGAGAGAACGGGGAGGAGGAAAAGAGGGGCGACGAGAGGTGGTGTGCTCGTGGGGACAGCGAGGGCGGGCTAGGGGAATGAAAAGGCAGCGGGAGCGAAAGGGCAGGCGGGGGTTGGACCGCGGATAGACGCGACGAGATCATGGGGATGAGGAGGACGAGGAGGAGAAGGCGGAGGAGGAGGAACAGGAGGAAGAGGAGGAGGAGGAGGAAAGGAGAGGAAGAGGAGGAGGAGAGAGGAGGAGGAGAGGAGAGGAGGAGGAGGAGGAGGAGGAGGAGGAGGAGGAGGAGGAGGAGGAGGAGGAGGAGGAGGAGGAGGAGGAGGAGGAGGAGGAGGGGGAGGAGGAGGAGAAGGAGGAGTAGGAGGAGGAGGAGGAGTCCCGGCGAGGACTGTTCAGAGGAGGGCCCACATGTCGCCGTGTGCGGCCTGTATATCCACCCGAGGGCCCCCGCCCGCTGCCCCAGCAGTGGCGACGGCTCTGGGAAGCATCGGCAACCCATTGCTTTACATCTCGGCGGCAGCGGGAGGGCTTGGAATGACTTGGAAATCTGGGGGAACGATGAATGCCACAAACATGAAAACTCTGAGGGATCCGCGCTGGGGCCCCCTGGCAGCGCCTCCGGCGCCGTCTCTGCGCGCTCCGCGCGCCAGGGAGGGGGGTCCAGAGCCGATCCGAGAAATCCGCGCGGACCTCCGAGTTTGCACGTGTATGCCATGAGTCGCTCCCCTAGGGAGGGCTTGACATGGATTGGAAATCTCCCACGTCTGCGCAGGATGCGACCCCTCCTGCTCACTCCCCACCTCCATCCTCACCATCGCCTGCTCGCATCCTGGTCGTCGCCGGCCGTTTACCTCCCGAGGGCCCCGCGCCCCAGCGCGCGGATGGCTCCCGCTGGTCCCGGCTGGCGTGCCACGGCCGCGGTCCGGTAAATGAAGCTACCCTCCCTGCTCCCGGTGTTGGTGGCGCTCTCCGCGGGGCCAGCCTGTGCCGCCCGGGGGGGCATCCGGGTCCGGTCCCACGGCGCCCCCCCCTTGGGGCGCCGCCTGTCGGCCGTGGTGCGCCAGAGGCGCCAGTGGCCCGGATGGGCCCCTGGCGCCGTCGTGTACCTCAACGACACGAGCTTGTCGTTGGACGCAGTCCCGGGCCTATATTATGGGCGCGCCGATCCGTTGGATGGCGGACTGTGGATCTTCGCGGCGCCGATCGGGGGATCGGTCCGATCAACCGTATAGTGACCATGGTCTCGGTCGGGCATCTCCGTCTCAGCCGGGCAACCGAGGCGGATCCGTCCATTTTGCATCTGCCGATGCGAGTGCGACGCCGGTCCAGGTGCAAGCAATTGATCGGGATCGAGACGACCGAGCGGGGCGAAAGGGGCCGGGCCGGTCGACGAGCGTCGATTCGCAAGAGCCGATATTTACGATTCTCATTGGAGGCTTCCGTGAGTTGTCTGGTTGGGCGTCGGGAGAGTGTGGCTCTGTGTATGTGGTGTGCATGTGCATGTACGTGTGCGTGTTGGCCTGCGATGCTGCCGCTCCGCCCGCCCGCGACCGCCTGCCTGATACTGCGCCGCGCTGCTGCGCGCGTAGCCGCGACTCCAAATCAGTTTGTGATTGTGTGTGTGCGTGTGCGTGCGTGCGTGCGTGCGTGCGTGTGTGTGTGTGTGTTTGTGTGTGTGTGTGTGTTTTGCCCCATCCGCCAGCGCAGTCACTCTGCCTAGCCGCCGACGCAACAAGTGTGAGTGTGGTGTGTGTGTGTGTGTGAGAGAGTGTGTGTGTGTGTGTGCGCGTAGGTACGTGCACGTGCGTGTCTCGTTGTTTTTCTTGTGAGTGCGTTGCCTCCACGGAATAAGTTTCCGCCCCAGTTTGTACCGCAACTCGTGATCGTAACCTGTTATACCAGCATGAAGATCCTACTCTTGGGTCCAACTGTCGAATACGGTTTCTAGTACAGCCTGTGCCACTGTTACTACAAACCCTACTGCAGCAGAGGAGCTCCACCATCCCCTCAAGGAACTACGTGTGACTTCTCTGCAAGAGGTCGCCCTCCTGATGCGCGTGCGGTCCAGAATTCCAATGGTAATGGGACCCGCGAGATCCGTGAACTGATAATCTTTTTGCCAGACTGGTGCGGAGAACTTTTGTGGGAGGGGCGAACAGCGGACGCGCTTCCGAGTCCAGCCTGCGCATGTTGTGAAGGGCGGGCGAGCGTGGCGTACGCCACCGTTTGTTTGCTGGCATTTTATTAGTGGGTGGTTCGTGTGCGTATGTGTGGGTGGTGTGCCTGCGCTGTACTGTCCTCGTTGCCCCCTGTCTCTCCGTTGCTTCTGTGTTCGCGCTCCTGGCTGCCTACGCTGGCGCGTATGGCCTCGCACCGGCTGCCCGGCAAAGAGGGGGGTGATGACTAGGGGGGTTGGATATCATGGCGGGGGCCATGATATCCCCCCAGGGTTCACGGCGCCTCTTCTGAGTTCGATTCGTTTTCGGTCCCCCCCCCCCCTGGGCCCCGCACATGCCGCCGGCCATGCTTTGCGCCCCCCCGCTCCTGGACGCCCCCCTCCTGGTCGCCCCCCGGGGCCCTGGCCGCTCCTGCCGCCGCGCGTCGATCGTCGCGCCGTGCCTCTGCCTGGCCCGGCTCTGCCCTCTCACCCCTCTGCGCCCTCGCTGCCCACGCCCGGGGCGTGCGTGCGGCATGGCCGACCCAATCCATAGGCCCCCTGCGCGCTCGGAGTGGCCCGCCGCGCGCGCGCGCTCAGCCCGTTCGGTGACTGTCTCCACCTCGTCGCTGCGCGCGAGGCCGCGGCCGCCACACCGTATGTGGCGGTTCCCTCGACGTCGTGTCGAGCGTCGCCCCTCTCGTGCATCCCCAGTGTGAGCGATCGTGATGCGTACAGTCGGCTCGGGGTGCCTCCTCGGTGGAGCTTGCCACCCCAAGCGGCCCGAGCGGGCGTCAGTCTCTATCCGGCGCAGCTCAGTCCAGTATCTTTTGTTTCTCTTTTTTGCGCTGCATCGGTCATCGCCTCGCGCCAGCCCGCCGATTGGAGCGTGCGGACGTATGTGATTGTGTGTTTCTGCGCTGGGCCTCACGGATGTTGCCAACTTCACCAATTAGTTCACCTGAGCAAGTTCTGTTAGTGTATCTTGTTTATTAGGCACGCGCTCGCATTGTGCATCAGCAGAGAACAAGGAGGGGGATGATGATGCTGATGATGATGATGATGATGATGATGATGAGGAGGAGGAGGAGGAGGAATAGAACACGTGTATGTGTGTGTGTGTGTGTGTGTTTTTGTTTGTGTGTGTGTGTGTTCGCGCGCGGGTGCGCGTTCTGTGAGGTCCTGGCGGACATAGAGGGCCTCCACTCCCACGTCACGAGCAGGCTGGCCACGATCCATGCTTCATGCCTTAAGGACGCCGCCAACATAACTGCCAGGATCGCAGAGCACAGCAGCGAGGTCGAACGGCTGCAGCGCGAGCGGTTGCTCAACCTCGCCGCGCAAGCAGAGAAGCAGGCCGAGTTGGACGCGTTGGTCGCAAAAGAGACCGAGGCACGGGCGTCTTACGACTCGACGGTGGCCCAGCGTGCAGAGGAGGCCTTGTCGTTTTCCAAAGAAGCCGCCTCCACGGCCATGCAGCGGGACGTGTTGTCCGCGGTGCTGCAGACTTTGCAGCAGAAGCGCTCCTCGCTGCAAGCCAACTCGTCCAGTCCTGCAGTATCTGCGCTCGACTACGTCATAGGGGTCATTTCCAGCATGGTGGATACTTCAACCACCGACCTGCAGGAAGGGTCCTCTGGCCACTACCAGCGGGATTCCGACCTTTTGGAACTTGTCAACACCCATAAGGCGTCGTTGCAACACATAGACCAGCAGTACCAGGCAGAAAATGCAGTCAAGCTGGCCGCCGAAGGAGCAGCGGTAAACGCTGCGACAGAAATTGCAATGCGGAAGAAAATCCTTGAGGCTGACACGAACTCGAGGGACTATTTCTGGAGTTTTTGCGGCAGCGGCAGTGGGTATGCTGGCACCGTCCACTCCGCAAAAACGGTCCTGACCAGCGCGTTCGACAAGTTCCAGGAACAAGGGTCCCAGACGTTAGACGTTATGGAAGAGATCATAACGATGGAGACCACCACCACAACGACCACCACCACCACTACGACTACAACCACTACGACAACTACCACAACAACGACAACGACCACCACCACCACCACGACCACCACCACTACAATCACGACGACAACTACCACGACGACAACTACCACCACCACGACTACGACCACGACGACGACCACGACCACCACGATCACCACCACGACGACAACGATAACCACCACGACCACCACGACCACCACTACCACCATCACGACCACCACGACCACCACCGCCACGACCACCACTATTACCACGACCACGACCACGACCACGACCACGGCCACGACCACGACCACGACCATCGCCACCATCGCAAATGCCACCACGGTTCCGGCGGGCGCGGCCCTCGTGCAGAGGCGCTTCTTGGTGGGCGAGGGGGCTGTGGCGAGGTCGGTCGTGGGGCGTCGGCGGGCCCTTGCTGCTGCTGCGCACTCCTCGCAGGTCTCGAGGCCCGAGGGCCCGACGCGGGGGGGCGCGAGGTCGGGCCGTGTGCGCGCCCTCCGGCAGGAGGGCGCAGCACTGCGGCTCCAGGGGCGGGCGGCGGTGGCGAGGCCCGCCTGGCCCGAGGGACCCGACGCAGCCTGGGCCCTGGTGCGCCAGGTGGCCGGCGCCAAGCCCGGGCTCATGGAGGCTCTGACTGCAGCGCTGCCCAACAGCAGCTTCCTGGACATTCACAGGGCCGCCGTGGGCAACGCGACCTCGAACTCCACGAACGCGTCCTCTGTGCTCAGCAATGAGACCCTTCAGCAGTGCGTGGACAGGAAGAAAGAGCTGACCAGCCAGGTCGTCGCCGCGCGCCAGCTGGCGCGACAGGGCAGGTCGAAGGTGGCGCTACTCAATTCTACGATCAATGTATCCAGAAGCCTTCGGCCCATCCCGCCAGCGCGCCTTGGTTGTAGGCCAGAGGCCTCTTGGATGCCTGTAGGGATCCGCGTGGGCGTGCGTGGGCCCGCTCGAGGTCGTCTTGGGGGCCTCCTGGGTCCAGAGTTGGGCCTCTTGGGGGCCTCTTGGGGGTCCTTGGGAGATTCTTGCGGGCCTGCTCGCGGTCTTGGAGGTCGTCCTGGGGCGGAGGGCTCGAACTGTCGGTTCGTGCTCCCCCTTCTGGGGCCTCCTTTGGGCTCCTCTTGGGGCCCTCTTGTGGGCCGTCTTTGGGACCTCTTGCAGTCTGGAGGCCCTTGGGAGGGCCTCTTGGTCAATATTGCACCGACCTTGGGGTCCTCAACCCTAGATTCTTTCAAAAACCTAAGCATCTCGCTGCTTTTGGCTTCTCGGGGCCCTCATTGGGGCCTCTTGGGGGCGTCTTGCGTCTTGGAACGCCCCGGGGGCCCCTTGGGACATCGTCTGGAGGCCATATTGGGCATCTTGGGGCCTTCTTGGCTCGTCTTGAAGCCCCCTTCAGGGCCCGAAGAAGCACTAGGGACGCCCCAGGAGGCACGCGGTACACCCGGGCAGATCTGGGAATTGGGGGTCAAGGTTCCATATCATTCCATTCGCTCTGCCAACTTGTGCCTGGCGTCACGGTGGCGGAATCTCTGCTTGGGAGTCGATGCTTTCATCTGAAGTATTTCAGGCTTTCGAAGTCAACGAAGACTTCCAAGACGGGTGGACCCGCCTACACTCGAGCATAGAGAATCAGGTTTACGAGTCGGGCTTGGCAAACGCGAAAGCCGACTTGCAAGAAGTGACGGAGAATGTGTCCAATTACGTCGGTCTCGACACAGTGCACGGCAGCGTCCTCCCCTCGATGATGAGCAGCTTGGAGCAGAAGTTCCAGTTCTTCAGCGACAATTTCCAGACGCAAGTGGCGAGCCTGCTGGCCGATTATGCCGATGCAGAGATAGGGAAACAACACATGACATACACATAAAAACTCGGAGGTCCGCGCGGATTTCTCGGATCGGCGCTGGAGCCCCCTCCTTGGCGCGCGGAGCGCGCCACGGGCGGCGCCAGAGGCGCCGCCAGGGGGCTCCAGCGCCGATCCGAGGCATGCGCGCGGACCTCCGAGTTATTATGTTTATGCCATTGTTCGTTTCCCTAAGAGAAACACCTTGAGACAAACATCGACATGGTGTCGAAAGAGCTGAACCAGATTCAGGTCGCCGCGGGCCCGCTGCACGCGAACCTCACCGCTGCTCAGGCCTTGGTCGATCAGGCGGTGGAGCACGAGCAGGAGCTCCTGTCGGAGCGCGCTGCGGTCGAGGCCGAGTGCGAGCAGGCGCTCCGGTGAGTTGGCATCTGGCTGTGCATTCAGGAAGGTCCGCGCCCAGACATGATTGCGTCGTGAAAAATCAGGACGGAGGTTTTTGACCGTTTTCGGCCTTGGGGGGGGGCCTCGCCGGGCCTCGGGACCGTCAAAAGCGATTCTGAATGAAAAACCGGTCCTGGGGAAAGGGTCGGGATTTCCAGGGACCTTGTATGGAAAAAAATCAGGACGTCGCATGTCTGTGCGGAGCTGGTCTCTTTTTATGTTGTCTGCTCTACCTCACGGCCACGTCGCGATGTGCAGAAGGCTCTGTTCTTCTGTTCGGCGATGTTTCGGGGAACGAGCAATGGCATAAACATACAAGCTCGGAGGTCCGCGCGCATGCCTCGGATCGGCGCCGGTGCCCCCCCCCCGCGGCGCCTCCGGCGCCGCCCGTGGCGCGCTCCGCGCGCCATGGAGGGGGGTCCAGCGCCGATCCGAGAAATCCGCGCGGACCTCCGAGGTGCACGTCATTGCTTTCCCCCCTAATGTTGGCAACTGGCCATGGGCACGATCTAGACGTTCAGTCTTGCTCCAGTGGCCTATCTAAGGGCTTCGCCCTCCGCCGCCGGCCCTCCCCTCTTCCCGCCTGCCTGCGTGGCTGCGCCCGATCGGTTGCTCAGTTTGTTGGCTCGTCGGCCAGCTGGCAACTCGGCTGATTGACCTGTGATCTAAATACATGATTTGCAGTTGGGTTTGGCTGGTTGCTGGCTGGCTGGTTGCTGGCCAGCACACGGTGGCCCCTCGGGGGCGGAGTTTCCATGTGATTTGCCAGGCTTCGCGGCACCGGACGCGCGCATCCCTCACTGCTGATCTGGATTCGCGACCTCGGGTCCAGGGCCGATGCCTCCGGATATGGCGGGAGGGCCGAACAGCGTCCCCCTAACACAGTTGTTCGGTCTTTGAGGGATGGACGCGTTGGGGCAGTCTCCGTGGGGTGGATTGGTGACCTCAGGAGCGCGAGCGCGACGTACTTTGGGAGCGCGAGTCTACACAAATGTGCAATCGGTTGTGGGCTCGGGGGCGCGACTGCGTAGTAATGCACAGGGGGTCGTGGCTTCTGGGACGAAATCTTGCAACGCTGCACTCGGGATTGTGGCCTCGGGAGAGCCGAAGCGGAAGCGCGAGCGCGGCGTGGTGAACTAGGAATTGCTGGTTTCCCAGACATCCGGTTGCTCAATTTTTTTCGGTGCGTTGGCACCAGAGGTCTGGACCCTTTCCCTTGGACCGGATTTTCGTCCTGAATCGGTTTTCGACGCTCCCGAGGTCCGGCGAGGGCCCCCAGAGGCCGAAAATTGCCAAAAGCCGCCCGCTCCAATTTTCTTGGAGCGTCGGATCTCTGGGTTCGGGCATGCAGCCCTGTATCGTTTTGCGTGGGGCGCGTGGCTTTTGGGAGCGCTGTCGAGCTGTGAGTTATACGAGGGGCCGTCTTCGGGGAGCGCGGGCGCGGCGTGATGATGTACACAAGCGATTGTGGTCTTGAGAGCGCATGCTTGTTGTAAGACGGGATCGGTTGTAGCTGCGCTATCAAGACAAATCCTGGAGACCTCGCGCGGCAACTTCAGACTCGACTTACGTCGGACGTACGTCGGGCTCACGTCGGAATACGTCGGATTTACGTCGGACTGGCGCCGGAGCATCGCCGCGCAAACGTCGACCCACAGGTTGCGGAGCCGACGCGTGGACTAGGTCATACCACTATACTTATTGCGCGCCGCGCGAGGCCTCCAGGAGTTTCCTCACAAGCTTGGGTATCCCGAACGCGTCGTGCTTTGTGAGAGGCTGGGGCCCGGGGTGGGGGGGAGCCTGCAGTAGTGCACAGCGGAGATTTGCTGCCCGAGCGCGAGAGCGTTGCCATTTACTGAGGGCTGTGGCCTGCAACTGTTGTATACTATTGCTTTTACGCGTCCCAGGGCACCCCCGTAAGTTCTGAGGGCGTGGTTCGGGGAGGAAGATCCAGAGGAATTCCAGGCCCGTTTTCTCGCGCAGGCTTCAGTCATGCCACCATTGGAATTTTTGACCATCGGACACGTTGAGTTCAAACATTGGGCTGTGGGATTGTTGCAGGGAGCTGGGGGCCTGGCCTACACAGCCTGCTGGCCCACACAGCCTGCTGGCCTCCAGTGGACTGGCGGATGCTTGTTCTCCCTGCCCTTTCCGATCTCCGATCTCCGATCTCCGATCTCCGATCCCCGAGGAGGAGGAGGAGGAGGAGGAGGAGGAGGAGGAGGAGGAGGAGGAGGAGGAGGAGGATCTCTCTCTTTCTCCCTGCCGCTGTTGCCGTGCTGCTCCTCTATAGATCTCGCAGGAAGCCTCGCTGCCTGCTCTCTCGAGCCTGGGGCGCCTGCCGACGTGCCGAGCCTCCCTGCGGAATGCCCCGCCGGGGCTGGACCTAAACGTGGTTTTGCTGGACTTCGGCTGCGTTTTGTGTTTCCTTCTGGGAGGGAGGTACAGGAAAACAAGTAGAGAAAAACGAAAGACAAAGCGAAAACAACACGAAAAACAAAGTTTGCTGGACTTCGGCTGCGTTTTGATTTACGTTTTGGGAGGGAGGTACAGGAAAACAAGTAGAGAAACACGAAAGACAAAGCGAAGACAAATCGAAAAACAACGTTTAGGTCCAGCCCTGCACCCAGCCACGGATTCTCCCTGGGCTGACGGGCCCTGAGCCGAGCAGAAGCTGTCGGAGGCGCCTCCAGCGAATCACCGCCGCGCCCGGCCTTTCTCGGCCTTTCCCGGTCGGACGCCGGCGCGGTCAACAGGAGCGGACAGCATGTCTCCCGAGTTGTGGGGAAGCCGGGCACACCTGGGCTTGCAATTGGCCGCGAGGGCGCAGACGGTCCCTATGATAAAGCATTCGAAGTACGGGAAAGTGTTCGAGGCCACTGCTTCTGGAAAGTTCCAGCTCGAAGTTGCGAGGGTCCTGGAGCCCGGCGAAAGTTTGGTTTCGAACTTTTCTGGACCCTCGCATTGGTTTCGAATTCGTTCCGAACTAGTTTCGGACTCCCAAATTGGTTCCGATTTTTTTTGTTGCACATGTCCCGGACTTTGAAACTTAGTTCGAACTTGTTTGGAACTTGTTTTAAAACATGTTCTTCAA